CAACGACCGGAGGAATGTTCAGCAACAACGACCGGAAGGCCTAGTGGATAGCGTGAAGGATTCTCAAGCGGACAGTTGGGGTGGGGTTGATGGTTCGACTCCTCTCGGCGTGCGAATTTTTGCATTTTTTTATGTTTTGCTGCTTTCGCGTTCAAATATGTCTGTGCTTGAGTATGAGTTCAATAACTGCCATTTACGGGCACATTCTAAATGGGAACACTCCATGAATCAGTGCTATTCAATCATTACAGGTTTTACATACCATTAAAGCCAGCCAGTAATTGAAAGTTGACCTTTATAGGTCACACCATGCCCGAATCCCGAATATGGAACTTATTTGTAGCCACGGTGCCATTTATCGCTAATATAGAGTGACATGCTTCACCCAATGAATGCGTTTGCTACACACAAGTAAGGGATAACGCTACCCAGGCGCCAAGTTACGTCGGCGCCGAAAATAAGTGTGAAAATCATGATCGGGGCCATCGATTACCCCTGTAAACAATCTTTCAGCCAAAAAAATTTTTTTCGACTTTTTTGGGTGTGTGCGTTGGGTTGTGCCCGACAGTCTTTCCATAGAAGTCCACAGTGCCTCGCCATAGGGACCCCCTGTTTTATTAATATCCAAAGATAAAAATAACAATGCCGATGAAATTCATGCAAAGAGGAAGGGAAGGGAGGCGTTCCACCAGGTTTGCTGTCCTGCCCGGCGGCCTACGTCGTCGTTCCATCATCGTCTTTACGAGGATGGGATACTCCGGTCACCACTGCCGACCAAATGGTCCACCAAAACCCAAAAAATCGCAAAAACGGTTTTTGGCTAGAAGACCGTCCATAAGGGTAGTCGATGGTCCTGATTACGATTTTGACACATATTTTCGACGTCGACGCAGTCTGGCGCCAGTATAGCGCTTAACGTCCCTCATATGGGGTACATAGACGTACCTTTCGCTTTTTTTTGGCGTTCCTGGAGCCGCACAGCAAAGACGAAGCCCACTTTTATGGTTTATGGGCAAGGCCCTACAAAGTGCAATAAACCGTTTCGAAAAAGCGAGGCACGCCCTGAACGACCTCCCTTGTTAGTGAATAGAGACTTGTCAAGTGTGAACGAAACTTATGCCGAGACATAGCTTACAAGAGTTCACAGGTTTTCATACTAGGCAATGAAATGATCGAATGACAACCAGAAAACATGCCATCATCAAATAGAACGACGCCGCACATTTTTCCCCTCTAAGATAGAGTGCCTGCGCAGATTCCGACGGAACGTCGGAGAAAATGAGACATTTGGTGGACGAGAGCGCAAATCTGAAGCCTGGACTACTTTTTTGCCTTGGAAGATGACAATCCAGTCGAACCGTTAGACCACTTCAATAAGGATCCATCTATAAAGTTATAAGGCAGACTCGTTACAGCTGACAACTGTGTTTTTACGAAAGAAACTGGCAGCTCTAAAGCACAGATATGTGAAATTTGATTTCTGCCCAGAACGCCTTATAATGCAGGAATGACCGCAGAGCAAACTTCGGGCTAGCAGCCAAATGCATGCAACCCTCATGGTAACATCTACAGGGGGAGGGGGAGGGAGGGGCAGTAAAAAACACTTTTCTTTCCCGACTTTCAAGGCGCTATAACATACAATTTATCGAATTCTGATTGGACATTTCAAACAACATATTCAACAGCATATGGCATACTATCATGATGCTTCGCCACAGCCCTCTGGACGAGCGCCATCGAGAGATTCTGCCACACGACCGTGATTCGGTACCTGAGTCAGCTAGATCGTTGATTTCTCCGCCACTGTGGACCAACATGTTGAGCTCCGCCCGAACCCGGTAATTGAGGTGATTCGGGTCAGGTGACACACTTCACTCAACGCCCTTTCATTCCAAGTAGGGGAGAGTTTTTACAACGCCCTTCGATTCCGTGTGGAGGCACCCAATCCTGTAGAACAGTACGAAGCTTCCAAGAAGGTACAGGGGACGTCATGAGGGCAGGATATTCTTCTCGAGTTGCTCGATGTAATCATCAGCGTTCACGTTCAGTCCCAGACCGCGAAAAAAAATATCGGTTCCCCAATCCAGGAACTTCCGATCCATACCATCAACCCACGCCTTGGCAACTGCGGTGAAGATGATACCTGTACCGTAGTGATGTTGTCTTAGCTGCTATATGTTGGAGGTCTTCCAAATCAAGAGCGCTGGTCTACAAGCTGTAGGGTGACTCGATACAAAAAGTTTTGCAGCTGTATGGAGGTGACGTGAACTCCCGTGAATTCCATAGGCCTTCTCCAGTCAGGCTGCGATTGCAGATGGCTTCATATTTCGGTGTACATGAAGGTGGAGAACGAGGGCCTGCTCCTGTTTACCAAAGAACATCTAGGGTATCTTTCGCCCTGATACTGGTATCCACGTCTTGTTTCTAGGCTGCGTAAACGTTACTGACATGTGACGCGGCCAAAGTGTATTTTTTATTGCCCTCCCCCTGTGTATGTAAGATAACTTACAAGAACCACGTGATAAGTGCGTTCAGGTCTGGACGTAGACATTTTGGCGAACCAGATTCCGGAGCTAGGACTAAAGCGCCGAAAATCACAGGTATTTAACAGAAGGAGGCCCATGAATATACAACAGCTGCGCAAATTAACGCGATGGTCACGCAGGTGGTTTTCGCGGAGCCCCATTTCGCCACCCTTAACGACAGAATCCAATAGCCTGTGGGTAGTGGGGTCATTTGCGAATGTCAATGAGCTACGAAACCCAACCTAAGAAAAAAAATAAGAAAAAACTACGACAACGCTTTTAATAAGATACATGTTGATTCTAGGCATGATGAGTAAACTCAACTGGAAAGACAAAGGTGAAGAAGTGAATCGTGTCAGGAGATGGGTTTGGCGCGGCGCCAGCGCGTCTTTCACCAACTGCTTCCGTTTGCCCCTTCCATTAATTGGTGGAGAACAGGTTGCCGCTGGCCAGACCTAGCCGCCCTGACACGCCCCAGCATCCGCAGCGAACAAGAATGTACAATGTTTCTGAATGTGGATCGCGCCAGCTTTTGCAAAGATTCTACTCTCGTCCTCGCGGAGTGCCTTCAGAAGCCTCAAAATATTAACACATTTGAGGCGAAGGTCGTTTCGCCCAGATCTCACGTTCGCCGTTGTTTTTGGCTTATTTTTACAATTTTTTCTTGTATTGATGTGTTAATTGTGTAAATGTATGCTAGCAGAATATAATCAGTTGCAAAAAAAGCAAAAAAATATGCGCGTGTTTTCGCAATAGTGTACGAATGACCGAAAACAGGGGTTTCCGCGTGTACTCCCGGGAGTACACGCCGCCTCGAACGCGTTAAACGATAAAGAATAACGAAGTGGCGCGAAGAACCCGCTTCACCAGGAAAGGTCAACAGGTCAGCCCGGCCATTTGAAAAGAGATGCACATCATTCTACTCATCTTGACACGGTGAACTCAGAACTAGCATCAAAATTTGCGGAACGATTCGCTGAGTGGAGTTATGAAGGTTTTTCTTTACTGTTTTTCTTCTTGCGGTCGTGCTGGCGCCGAAGCGTTGACACATGTAGCGCGACTCACAGCGCTCTTCGCGAAAAACAGGTATCATATTCGTGTTCAGAGGGTCAACTAACCCCTAGGGACGTCATCTTAGCAAAATCTGAGCTTCTGACTCAACTTCGAAAAAATGGGGTATGGATAGTCATAGCTGACTGATAGCTAACAGCAATACTTGACTGGCATAAGGGTGATGACTGGTCCTCGAACTGAAATAACTCTTCAGTCAGGTCTTTTCGCAAATAACCTACCTGGCTTACTTATTTGCGCCGTCTGCATCATTTTCTTGACTATCGGGAGGAAATCCCATTCATTCCGAGACCAGTCATCAGTGGTAGGTGAGCTCCAATCTTCTGCTAATTACCTATGGAATAGCCCACATTTTCGAAGTAAAGTCGAAAGATCAGATTCGGCTAGAAACTTGTCCCCAGGAGTAATTTAAAGCTGAACATGAATATGATGGTATTTCATTGCAAAAACCCTCCGGACACGTGTTACGAGGGTTTCAAGCAGAAGCACTCTTCCAGGCCACAATGGGTCTACACTTTCAGAAAAAACTGACCGCAGGTTCCTTTATAGGGTAGTGCAGGCGAGCAGAGATGTTGGAAGCTTTGTCGGCTATGTTCTTGGACAAATGCAAAAAGATGGACCTGCCCACCGATGCAGCGACGTCTCGGCTAAGAAACCAGCTCCTTACCCATTGCGCTCTATTACCACGTTTCAGTGCGACTCCATACATAAATGTGAAGACGCTTCCATGTTTCCTCGCGATAGCATGTGCAACGACCATGCGGGGAAAAAACCCTCCATAACTCCGTTCAGAGAATTGTTCCGCAAATTCTGAAGGTAGATTTGAGTTCACCGTTCTAAGACGCTACAACGGAGTGCAGCCCATTGGAAATGGTTAGGCTGACCTGTTAACCTTTCCTGGTCAGTTCTTTTCTCATCAAGCATACAGCAGAGGTTTACCAATCAAGGATAAACAAGGAAAAACTACAAGGCGAGCCTTATTAGAGACTGCATCATCAGTACGTAAGTACGTGACCTGAGCAGTAATCACATTGATAACGTCACAAGATGGACAAAAATACACAACATGAAGTGTAGTGACAAAAGCGAAGGAGCACAAATCATCGTCTATAACCCTTAGCCTGACAGGTATGTGGCAAGAGGATCGTAATTCGCCGCCCCAGTGGGCGTCGCGTGCGACGTCGCGCCCTCTAATGAACGATTTTGGGTTGTATTGGTCGAGAAGAGACAATATATGAGCAAAAATAGACATAAGGGTCTACCTTTGTCCTTGGAGTAGTGCAAAGAGGAAACGTCGCGCCCATTGTCGCGAGCGACGGAGCGGCAATCTACGATTCTCTTGCTCGAAAGGTTGAAATGGCAAATCTTGGGATAGCTGGCAGTCATAATGAAACACTGCTTACTTGTTCCCTCCGTGGACCTAGAGATTTTACCAGTCTTTTCAAGAACTATTTGAGCTCCATGACGGGTGCCCACTGCGACGCGGTACTCAACGTCTTCCTGAAATGTAAAGAACATCATATGCGTATGTAGCTCGGACCAGCGAACTCTATACCCCAAAGGTAGACGTTATCACGAGATCTCCAAGTGCGAGTTGGCCTGTATAGAGCATAACGTCCATTTCCGATAGCTGTTCTGCATCGAAATCACTAATTTCTTTGCCATTTGTATCCACACATCGAGTAGCAGCAGGAGCCTGAATACACACTGATAGAGAAGTCGAGTAGCAGCAGGAGCCTGAACACACACTGATAGAGAGCCAGGTGAAGAAATATACCACCAGGCCTGATTTGAAACAACAACAAATAAACTGAAATAGAAAATGAGAAGAACGGCATAATAATAATGGTGAAGGAACCACGTAAGGACACACTCCGCTGTTACTTGACAGTCAGAAACTCCCTCTTGGGCCACTAGTCAGAAGAATGAGTAAAACAGGCGAGCATCGGCGACCACTGAAGGAGCGCTACAAACAGAAATCGCCTCACCTTTCTGGAGGCAAACGTATACCTTAGGTCATACTCTATAGACAGCTATGACCCGTTCGTCTTGTGTGGAACCGAACACGTCAAACTTGCTCGCTTCCTGTTTTCACACACTTTGCTTTTGGTCTCCAACTTACGTAGTAGTGTCGCAATACTTCGTACACAAGTCCATAACAGAGCCCTTTAGAGCGTTTTCGACGATTTGTACATAATGTTTCTTCAAGTGTGAGTCAACTAGCACATGCGTGAACCTTTCTGTAATGCGATTCGCAATGCAGAGATGTCCACGAAATTTTGTACTTACAAGTTCGCCAGGAGTTTGCATTTCGAGAATCGGTGGCGTTTCCACTTCCTCTGTGGCCCTAGCACTTCCAGCTGTTTCCTTTGGTGAGATCTCTTCCCTTTTGAGAGGCATTTCCAGAAGCTCACTCAATTGTGCAGGGGCTGGCTCATCTGTTCCGTTAACAGGAGATCTCATTATCGGTGCTGAAACTTTAACGTTAAGTTCATGAGCAATAGCCTCAAAATCGGATTCCAAACTTTTTCGAGAAGTATTAGGTTGTCCCAAAAGTTCGTGGACTTTTTCAAACTTTTTTTCGAATTAAGTTTATCCCAGTGGGAAGCAATTTTGATCAACTATATATATATGTCACCTTCATTGGCAACTTGTTGCCAATCACTACGCAATGTGTGGTTGCCCTGCTTCCAGAAGCCTCTTAGTTCTGTGCCCAGAAAAGCAGCTGGGTCATTTTTGAGGTACCAAAAATCGTATTTTTTTACCAAGAAGATGACCGCTGTGGGATTAGTTTAGATGGCGATCGGAAAGAGCTAAGTCAGGGCTACACGAAGACTGTGGTGGAATCCCCAGCTAAGCTTCGGGATCTCAAGCGGTGTCGTTTTCCAAATGTATGACCCTGAGCTGTGGTGGAGTAGGCAAACACTGCTCGGTTTTAGGACCAAATGGTAGAGATTTTCCACCCCACTTTGCAGCTGATTACAATAGGGCTCTCTGGTTACCATGGCGTTAGAAGGTAGGAATTCCGTTTCGAGAGTGGAGAAAGGTACCCCACCACATACACAGCCTCACCGCCCTACTGGATTGATAGGATTGCGCGATCGGTTCTGCCCTTTCTGGGGGATCCAGCCGCTAGCGCTCCCAGAAGTGATTTCCTAGAGGCACCCACTCCATATCCATTTACAGTGATGTTCAACCAGCCCGTACAGCGGAAGCGGGAAAGAAGTTGTAGAAAGTACCCACATGTGTTCCGCTTGGAGTACTGGTCAACTGATGAGAAAAATTTTGACCGAAGTTCAGAACTTTTCTAAGGGAGCGAGGCCTTCTCTCATTTGTGCTTTGGGACCAGTCAAATGTAAAGACTAGATAGCAAGATGATTTGTACGTATTGGTTTCAAAGGCAGTTGGCACGATAAATCACTGCACAGGTGTAGGATTTGTACAACTGGCTCAACAGAATTCCGTGACCTTGGACAGGCGCTGCGTAAAGCCTTTTCCAAGGAGGGTACCCCTATAACGCCCTATTGAGCAACAACTTTACGTCCCAAACGCCTTCCTTGCCCGCCCGCCCACAGCGGACGACCTTTTGTGACGCTGGTATTCATTCATTTGCTAAGCAAATTGTGGCAAAGGGATTGCTATGAAGCGGCGGTGATGCTGCATGCATATATGGGTAAACATATGCAGCCGCACCTTCGGTAGTGGTGATTGGCAAGATGCGTACGGGAAACTCGTCCGAAATCTATTTACAAGTCACTGAGAACGGAGGCTTTTTCTTCGACGGATTTTGACCGTTTCACTCCGTTCTTTCGCCATTTCCCCACTATGCAGCAGCCTACTAGCATTTTACGCTAAGTAGGAAACCACCGTGCCAACTGCCTTCAATCAAGGAACGTAGTAGGTCCAAATGCAAGGCAGGTGGCCTCCTTGGACGAGGTTTTTCACCCGGATAGAAGTCACTAAAGCGGAAGCAATTGAGCCATTCCAAAGCCGTACTGTGGAAGCTAACATCAAGATCTAAATGAGGGAAATGCTGCTTATGGCTCCAACCACGTTGTGGCTTGGTAGAGATTCATATAGCAAAGTGTGTCGAAAATGATGAATTCCAATTACCGTTTTTCATATGACAGCGACTGCGAAGGACGGTGAAGAAGCTGTGGAATGCTTACCTCACACACTTCCCATAGACCACATACGGATCTCAAAATGGCTGCGGAAAAATCTGATACGAGATCCAACAAAGTCCACGAACTTTTAGGACAACCTAATAACTTGATAGGAAACTGCACTATTTCTAGAAAATTGAGAAAAAAAAAACTGACAGCTATTCTCCCTTGTAATAGCCTTTTTCAAAAATGCACGATTCAACAAGTGCACTGTACCAATGTGCTTATCCAGAGATTTTTCGCCATAAAACAGTACACCTACAAAAAAAAATTGTATAAACGACAAGCAGAATGTGTTTATGCATCAAGGGCTACTATCGCAAATCATTATCAGCACTTGTTACTGATACCGAACAGTATCATGCAACGGTAGAAGCAGAGAGCGATCAAGAGTATTAGGTTGATGCATATGTTTTTCCCCCGACTTTTTTGTAAATATCTTAATAGCGAACCAGCCTGAAGATTAGAGGTATGCACCATCACCATCCACTACTCGACGCCAACGATCAGGCAGCTTGTCGATCCCATACTCCCAGAAGGATGGGGGCTGGGACCTGAAGAAGGCCACAATGCCGCACAATCACCACTATGACATGATTTCACACTGGAAATTGTGCGGCATTGTGGCCTGCAAATGCAGGTTAGGTGAGTGATAGCTAGTGTGATGAAAGAGTATCATGCCCACGTCACGCACACGTGATGACGAAATACCAACATTCATGCAAAGGAAATACGAAAGTAACAAAACAGCGGGGAAAACATATGCATCAACCGTATGTAGTGTTTGTGGTGATAGGCTAAACCGTGCAGCAAGGTATAAAATCCGAGATAGTCTGGGAGCTCTAGAATTCAAAGCAGATAAGACATTTAATTTTTTGCAATACTTCAGAGTATTATGACGAAAACAAGTTCAAAATGATAGTTCGAATGGTATATGATGATGAGCCTAGATAATAGAAGAATGTTCGGTGTCACTTTCTATAGTGCGTAACAAAAGTATGTGGACACCTCAAAATCTAGTTTTAACATGTAACCAAAAGATTTCTTGATCTGGATCCTTTCTCAATAGATTCCTCGTGGCCGATTTCCCTATATTTGGGCACTCGAGCGATAACGAAGCTTTATTTTCCTAACATATTTTTGAAATGAATTTCCTTGTTTGTACCAAAAGTATGTGGACACATGAGAATGTCCAAAGTTTGGCTCCAATTCTACAATCCATTTTTATGGTCTCTAGTCTCCATCAACCTGCACTCACGCCTCGTCGAGGTAGTCCATTTTCTCTATTCCAGTGTCCAGCACCACTGAGAGCTCGAAGCAAGCTCAGACTCGAGCTCTCAGTGCTGCTGGACACTGGAATGGAGAAATTGCAAGACAGCTCGGAGTTTCGACGACGTGCGTTGGTAAATATCTCCAGAATCCTGATGGCTACCAATCAGCACCTATTCCGAGGCGCCCACGATTTTTGTCCGCAAAAGACATCAGAAGAATAACACTTTTTGACTCGAACTTCCCCCTTTCTGTGGCACAGATCCATGCTGCGATGAGTCTGCCGGTCTCAAAAGTGAAAGAAGTGAAAGGACGCTCTATTCGATCAAATGAGCACGCCACCTGACAAACCATGAAGAAAGCTCCTCGTTTGACGCCCACTACCAGCTGGCGAGACTGAACTTTGCGCGTGCAAACATGGCGATGTCGTGGGACTAGGTGCAGTTTATTGAGAAATTTGTAAAATCAGAAAGGCAACATCTTATGCGCATTTCTTTCTTAGGTTATCTTCACTGGTGGGAAAAAAATCGAACGACGATCGAGATGGATATCGGCACTACTGGAGAGACATTTGTAGCGATCCGTTGATGTTCTCGAGTCGGAATATCGGAGGCGGCTCGTTAATGATATAGATTGGTTTTGGAAGCAGCGGAAAGTTGGAGCTTGCCTTCCCATCGTGCCGTATGAACAGTCAGGAATACCAAGCAGTGCTTGAATCTAACCTCTTGCCTTTTCTGAACGGGCCACGACGCAGGACACATGCGCTGCAGCAGAACAACTCCGTCGTGCATGTTTCAAATTCCACTAGAAAATGGCTCCAACGCAAAACTATCCAAGTGATTGGCCGGCGTGTTCTCCTGACTGCAGTCCAATCGAAAACCTGTGGGGATCATGGTCTGACGAATCTACATGAACAGTCGGTAGTATAACAGCGTGCGGGACCTGAAGGAGGCGGTAGCTGCTGCATGGGAGGCAATCGACGAAGACACCATTAGTAGTGAACGCTGGATGAAGCACCAGTTTCTGTTTTCCACGATACTTTTCGTTTTTTGTCAAGTGTCCACATACTTTTGTTATTGAGAAACTTTTTCAAAACAATAAATAATTGTACTGTAGTTCACAAAGTGCTCAGAAGTATTGTACTCCTATGCTTTCTCTTGTGAAGAATTGTTGTTCTTTCAATTCAACAATCAAGGTCTCATATCGCAAAATCCAAAAGCAATTTCGCAGAACAAAAATTTAAGGTGTCTACTTCTGTTACGCACTGTATTTCAAGTCATTGAGAGGAGCGCTTAGCGAAGGTAGGCGATCTTACTGGCATAAAAGCAAACAGCCGACTGGCAACATTGATGGCGCTTGAGAGGCAGAAGATCTGCTATAATTGAAAACCGTCATCCGATAAAAAATATCGTCAATCTTGCAAGTAAAATTCAATTCACCAGTGAGCAATCTAGTTCAAATACATACAGGAAGTAATACGCGAGGACGAGAAGGTAACGAGGATCCTGCTATATAATTCGCTAAGCGTATGTGTGTGTGTCCGTCTGTTTGTCACGAAATTCACAGCGCAGGTGCCAGTAGCAGTGAGACATTGATTTCAAGAAGTGATATAGGGGGTGTGACGTGAACACTATTAGCGGGTGACAGGAAGTGATATCAGTTGATAAGACCCGATAAGAGGTGTTAGAAGGGGAAGGTCACCATATTCATAGCGCGGGTGACAGCATCAACTAGCTATTGATCCCAGGACAATAATATGATAAGATATGATACAGGGTATGGGCCAAGAACATTACTGGTGGGTGACAAGAACTTTAAGATTCGACAAGTGACCTTAGAAAGGTGAGGTCATCGTATTCACAGCGCGGATCACAGCATCAGCGAAGCGTACGTTTCAGCAAGCGATATAGAGGGGGAGATAGGGACATCAATCGTGGGCGACTGGAAGCGGTAACTACTGATAAGGGCTGATAAAGTAAGTTGCAGTCGTCGTCGCTGTTCAAGATTGTTCACGCTAGAAAACATTGAGATTTAGTGACAACGACACTGATGACGGGTGATAGGTAATATTATTAGTCGACAAAAATGGATTAGATAACACCTGCACTACATTTTTATCACTGCTTACCGCTTCAACACCGGGTACTATTAGAGGATAAATGTGTGAACTCTTTCCTTTGATGTCAACGGGATGTCGTCCGTTGAAGTATTCGCTATCAGATGCATGAAATGTTGTCGAGCGGGTCGCGGGGGGGGGGTATATAGTGCGGCTGAAACGGAAAAATCGGGAAATTCATCAAACAAAAAAAATTTCGCAAATCTGCGTGCTATGTGATTTGCTAAGAGGCGGCGGTCGCAATTGCGGCAACATGAGGAGGGAACCCAACAACTGGGAGTGGAGACGTCCTATCGGTGGTAACATTCGAGCTCTCCGTTCGACACACTCTTTTACATGTATCTGCAATGTACAGTTCTCCTTTTCAGTGCCATTCATGACTCCGCAGTTATGTGTGTTCCGAGTGTTAGAGGGACTCATCCGGACTAATTCAACTTCACCCATTCTGATGTCGCAACTGCGGTCCTTAAAGACAGCCCCCGCGATCAAAGTGGCTCGTGGTCGCCTTTGCTGTGCAAGTAGTCTAGCCTCCAAGCTAGAAGACTGTTCACCTTTCGCGACTCTATTGTGAGCGTGGAGGCTGCTATAGCCGCTCAAAGTGCTGGTTCTAACTCCTCCTCAGTCGGACCGCCTTTACTTGCTAGATGTCCTCCGAAGGAGGCCACTCACTTGTTCTTAGTTGGGGCGGCGGGCATTGCTAATGCCCCTGGATAATTCTGCTCTCCTTCATTACAGTTTACTCATTGGAGGTATATACATCCAATTCAATCCATTTCGCGAGGTGAAACGCGTAAAAAACGAGTGACGCAATTTTCGTGATGCAAAACCACGACGCACAAAAGGTGCGCCTACCGTAATCACAAATTCAGACACCGTGTTGATAAAATTCCTTTTTCCTTCCCAGAGTTTTTCCTCTGCGTTTTTGTTGTTTTCTTTTTGTATTCTTTCTTTTGCACTAGATGATATCAACTACTGCGAGATGTGATAGAGAGATTTGTGAGCTAGGGGCTGCACAGAGACCGCAGGGAGGTGTAACTGTGAGGGAGCGATTTTGTTTATGTTGTTCTGGAGAACGCTTCTTGCCTGTTTTCTTCTTTGGGAGATTACTTATCGGCTGCTGTTTCATAATTGGGAAGCAGCTATCCATGAGACTTTTATCGTGGGAGCTGTCTTTAATGGCAGACTTCCAACGGTTGAAAGTCTGTATTAAGCCAGGGGGACCAGATATTGGTATACAATGACTGATGTTGAGCTTTTTCAACCCATTTTACCACATATCAATAAAAAAATAACTGGCACATTTAGTGCATTCCTCCTCGCCCCAGGGAAGAGTGCCTGGCGAAGCCAGGTCGGATCAGCGAAGCCGGGCCGTGAAACAGGACGAGCACTCGGCGGCAGCCGGGTGATCCGACTAGTTATTGAGTATAAATGGAATGATTCGGAATGGAGAACGGCTGATAATGAAGGAATTTCTATAGAGAACTGTAAAGCGATCAGGAAACGAGTTTCGCATAGGAAGAAACAATAGCGTCAGCGGTTCTGTCGATCCTAATGATTATACACAGGTTCACCATCTTGAACATGAACTAACATACCGCAAACAGGACACTTCTTTCCCTCCTCCAAACCACGTTTACATCGGGATTTTGTAGCGGATGATTCTATAACGCGAACGTTTCTTGGCACAGCCTTCAAGGACGGTCGCCGCTTGACGTTGACGAGTCGTGAACTCTGGAGAAGCAATAAGAAATAAAATCAATACTTCCTCATACTTCCATCACAAAACGTACCCCCGTACGCAACTGTGGATCCGATTCCTTGATTTGCGAGATGAGTTTTCTCAAAGAAGCAGCATCCAACTGAATAAAATCATTTCAGAGTAAGTCGAACGGTTGCAGATGTGCTACATTACTGCAAGTTTTCCTAGTGTCTTTGAGGTACCACAATGAGAATTTCAGACCACAGCTTCACCTACCAGTTTTCGAACGTCCGCCCCAACGAGCAGTTTTGTATAGGCGCAGCTATGGCGATAATGAAACAAAAGATTGTAGTCATATTTGAATCTGAAGAGCATCTTTGTAGAAAGTACAAAAAACACCACATGGACGAAGAACTTCCTACCTATGACCACAAAGCAAACACTTGAAAGCGCCATAATGGGAATGAAAACCGGAAATGTGACGCTCAAGGCGACCCGCGTTCGCAAACTGCCTGAATATAATGCATTAAACAAGTCAATCGAGGCATCGTGACAACAGAAACACACCGAAAACAGTCGGGACATTCCAGCGGCTTTCCGTCCACAGGGATATTCCATTTTCCCCTGTCAGCCGATATAACGTTCACTAGCTCTCCATCAATATTTAGCAAAGTGTCGGCGAGATCCACATAATCGTCCATAAAAACCAGAGCCTTAAAGAGGTGAAAGCGAGTTCATCGATACCAGGTGGCAAATGCTCAGTAGTCCCCCACGCATCTCACACCCTCAGTTGAACATTGTTCAACGACGACGTATCTTGCCTAGGGAAGACCAGATAATAAGCTCTTATCAAGGTGTCCTTAAGTTTCTTGAAAACATACTCTCACCTTTGAGGATAGCCCTTGCCATAAGCGAGGTAAACGGGTTAGTAGCCGTACATGCGTGATACTTCTGGCACTTGAGAGAGCGCGGAAATAAGCTTAGTTGGACCGCCTATCTTATTCGCGTGCGGCGGCAAACCTGGGCTCTCCTTTCGAGTCTACTTATTCGAGTCCTATTGTATGATTCAACTACTCTGCTCCTCTTAACATTCTGTCAGGCTTACACCCGTGTGTGAGACTTTCTCAGAAGATCTCACTTTACTAGCATGCCTCCTCGGGAGACTTGCCTGTGAGGTTGCCTGACTTAATTGGTGTCTCGCTTACTCCTGACCTCTCGTTAGACACGACCGGACCAAAGTTAACATGGAAAGTAGAAGGCAAAAATAAAAGCAAACGATAGAAACGTCAGAAAAGATGCTTCGATGCTTTATGATGCTTTAAAATGTTAACAGCACGTTCAGCCACTAACCATAAGAGCAACTGAAATGCAGACGTATACAACATGGACTGACTACAATTTAAATGGGAAAAAGGGCACGTATCGGAAAAATTCCTGTCGTTTTCACCACGGAAGCTATCAAATGGTCTGGTATCTCAAATATTGTATAAAATGTCTAGAATTGTTACTAACACTACGATCTGAGCTTAATTTGTGCCTTTTATTTTAAATCACTTTAGCATGCTTCTCACCTTTGATTGTTTTGGGTGATTCAGGTTTTTCACATTGTATCGGGTCGGCTCATAAGAAGTATTATTTTTCCCCCCACTCAAAACATCGCGCTGAAGAGGAAAAGCTTTGCCAGTGAGTTTTATTCCGTTTTACCCTTTACTATGGTCTTCATAGTTTTCTTCAGGTTTCTCTCACCACAAATATTTAAATGCTCAAACTGGAGTGTCAGGTCGACGAAATTGAGCATTTTCCACAGCCTCTAATCAAAAAGCTAAAATCGCATGCGCCCAGCTGCTAACTATATGGCTGAAAGTCGGTGTTATTTATGAATGCCAATAATACTTCAAGTTATTCGAAGAACTCAGTTTCGACCTCACAGGCAAGCATCGAACCTGATGCCCTATTTTGTCCAACTCAGAGCTTACGGAATCACCTTATTGACTGAGAATCACGCCAAAGATTGAGAGATCGTCAGAGGTAAAAGAATGCCTCCTTGTCATTATCAAACACCACCCTCAGTTGATGTTAGACGTTCGAAAATCAGTGGGTAAGTTCTGCAGGCAGTCCCTCCCCAAGGCGGCCCCCATGCGATGCTCTTTTACAAGGTCGGGACTCCCATCTTTTGATCGCTTAAACCGACTTCAAGCTGTCATAAGGCGCATCTTTCTTTGGCTACAGATCACAAGTTTAAAGCTTCGGTATTCATACGAATTCGCAGGATGACTGGGAACCTCTATGGAAGTGCTCCTAATGCTTTTGATGAGAAACCTCTCAGGTATCATTGCTCGATAGAAAAAAAAGTTGTGGAGTCCAACAACGACGCTGCCCTTTTTAAATTCATAAATAAAAGAACCAGAAAGCTTGAAAATCTTGGCTTTTCGGTCTCTCGAAAGGAACTTATTACTCGGATGCCGGAAAAGCTAATCGATTAGCGGACGTTTTTGAAGAAGTTTATGCTTCCGATTGCTCCACTGATGTGGTTCTAATGTTGAGGGATGGTTATCCCACGATGGAAGATTCGGTATGGCTTGATCGTTGGGAGATATTTGAAATATTCTCAACTTGTTCCTCGGTCACACCTGATGAAGTCCCGTTCAAGCTCATTGAACCTGTTTCAGCACAAGTTTTCTCCCTTGGAGTATCCTTTCAATCTGATATTCTTTAGGGCGAGATTCCTGAAAGATGGAAGCATTCTTTTGTCATCCCCTTAAGAAGCCACCTGTTCATGATCCGCACAACTACAGGCCTATCAGCACACTTCTGTTTTGTAGGATTTTTGAAAAAAATAATGAAGAAGAGGATCGACTGTCATCTGACGATGCACCATGTATTGCGGGTTCCCAGCATGACTTTATGAAGGGTAAATCTACGGAGACCCAGATGCTTGTAACTTTCAATGTGGGGATCCGCGCTTTAGATTCTGGACAAAGCCTTGCTGTTGTTTATTAGGAGCTTCATAAGGCTTTTGATAAGGTCTCCCATTTTTCTGCTACTTCACAAGCTGAAACACAATGGGATTCATCCTAGGATTATCACTTGAATTGAAGCTTCCCTTCACTCGCGCGCATTTTAAGTTATAGTAAACAGTAGTTCCTCTTCTGTTAGGAAGGCCACAAGTGATGTGCCCCAGGGAGGGGGTTTTATCTCCCTTTTATTCAGTATTTACGTTTATGATCTTCCTTCGGCCGTACAGCAACATGGCACCAATTGCATGTTTGCAGATGACATTAAAATTATGGTAGTCCGGAGAATGAGTTGAATTACAGTTCAACACAATTTTTTATTGTTGTTGTTTGGACTGTTCAATACCGTACCAATGCGGAGGGTACCACGTCTGAGCCTGGCGAGCTACGCGTGGTCAAATTTCTTCACGCCGAAAACAGTAACAATTATGGGCCTCAATCCCCTGAACCTGAGGGAACCACCGACAAAGCCGCGTCGGCTGGAACCGCTCGGGCGAGGCTGCAAGTATCACAGGGCCAACGGAGATTTAAGTCGCCCAGGACTAGCAATCTGTACTTTCGACGCATGGACGCTTGCATCGGAAGCTCACATGGAAGATCGGACTGAAAGAGACGAGATCGCCCGCTACGCCGTATACGATACTGGAGAAGAACTGTTCCTCGGAACATGCGACAGTAGAGGCGTTGGCGGTGTGGGTGTCCTCGTCAACACGCACTTGGCCATGAATCGATTCGTGCGAAAATCTGACGACCCGAATCCGACGTTCGCGATTGAGAAGATGTGATTCAACTCCAAATTTGACAATCTTCATCGCCTACGCACCAACATCAAGCTATGACGAGGATGAGCTCGAAGCGTTCTATATGGAATTGGAGAAATCCTACAAGGAAGATCATACCTTCTTCGAGGTCATCGTCTGTGATTTCAACCTTAAGATCGGACCAAGAAGAACGGCTGAAGAACTTCACATCGGAACTCACGGAATAGAGTGGAATGAGCAGGGTGAAACGCTGTCTGAGTTCATCGACCCATACCATTTATGGTAACTCGCAGTTCCAGAAGCCCTATTCTCTACGCTGGACATGAGAGTCTTCCGGTGGACAATTCCATAACGATATCGACCACGTCATCTTCAATCGAAGATTTTACTTAACCGATGTCGCTGTTGTTCCTAAGTTTCACACGGGACCCGATCACCGCCTCCTTCGCGCAAGATTGCGCTTTTCGATGCGAGAAAAGAGAGCCGCAAAAATTCAAGAAGCAAAGCCCCAAGACCACCATCAATTGGGATCAGTTCACCTCTTTCGCTGAACTCTGGGAGGATTCCGTTATCGACAACATCGACGAAGAATACGAACGGCTTCTCGCACATCTTCACGACTGCGCCGAGAAGTCAGGGAGCTCCGAGGTTACCAATTAGTGTTTATCTATGGAAACTCTCAAGCTGATTCGCCAACGTGGAGCCGCACGAGCCGCAGGCAATTACCAGATGACGTTTGAGCTTACGAAGCCATGTAGAGAAGTGATAAAGGAAGACCTCAAGGAGAGAAGAGCAGCAGTACTGGTGGAAACCGCACAAGCTGGGAAGAGCATACGCAACACCCGCCGCGACTTCGTCAACTGTAAGACCAAAATCCGCCTTCCGATGTCCGGATGGAACAATCACCGCATCCAGAAGGGCAGTGGAATAGGTCATCCACTATTTCTACTCTAATCTCTTTGATAGCCACGTCCACCTGCCACCATACCGCTTGGAGCAGGATGGAAATGTCGTTCCTGCAGTTCTCCCTTCCGAAGTTCGAGACGCCATCTCGTCGGTGAGGAATCGTACCCGCCCCGGTCCCGACTCACCCGGTCCCGACAGGTGAGACCCGAACAGCTGAGGAATCTTCCTCCAGTTCTTGTCAAAACTCTGGCTCGACTCTTCACGCGCTACCTGTCGGAATGCAAGTACCCACCTCGTGGAAAACCAGCAAGACTGTGTTGCTGTACAAAAAGGAGATCTGTACTACATTGGCAATTATCGCCCAATCTGCCTGCTGTCTGTAGTCTACAAGCACTTCACACGAGTCATCCTGAACAGGATTGGCAGAACACTAGACGAAGGACAGCCATGCGAGCAAGCGGGGTTCCGAAGAGGATTCAGCACGATCGATCCAACCACACGGTAACGAAGTTCATCGAAGTATCGCAAGAGTGCAAGATGCGCTATGTCTCACGTTCATCGACTTGAAGAAAGCCTTGAGACAGAAGTGGTTATCGAAGCTCTGGGCAACCAGGGTATTCCTACTCAGTATATCAGAATTCTTCGTGGGCTCTACAGCAACTTCACGACCACGGTCTCACCATTATACAAGGAGATCATCATCGACGTGAAGAGGGGGGGGGGGTTCGCCAGGGCGACATCACCTCGCCCAAGCTATTCAGCGTCTCTCTAGAACGTCGCGTCAACTGGAATGGGAAGACATGAGAGTGAATACCGACGGTTGGCAACTACACCATCTCCGCGTTACTGACGACATCGTTTTGATAACACCAAACATCAAGCAAGCGGAACGAATGCTGGCTGATTTTGACTCGCGTGTGGAAAAATCGGTCTACAGCTGAATCTAACGAAGACGACGTTCATGAGAAACGGGCGGGTTTCTCATGCCCCATTCACGCTCAACGGAACGACCATCTCTGA